CGTGCGAGAAGGGGCAGCGCGACCTGTCTGGGATGACTGATCAGTGAAATGAACTTCCTCTGTTCCACTCGTATCCACAAGGGCGGGCAGGCGTGCGCACAGGCGCCCGCAGGGGCAGGTTCTCCCACATCCGCATGCAGAGACCATGGAACAAGGCGTGCATCAGGGCACCTGATGTCTATGGGAAATGGAGTCCAGGCCAAGGAATTCCTAGAGAGACCAGCTGACCCTCCCCCAGGGCTTCAGTCTTCGGCGGGTGGAGACAGGCTGGAAATCAGAGGGCATTTGCTTCCCACCCCAAAATCTCCAGGGTGGCCGGCGCCCCGGCTCACTAGGCTAATCCTCCGCCTTCGGCGCCAGCACACGGGGTTCTAGTCCCGGTCGGGCGCTGGATTCTGTCCCGGTTGCCCCTCTTCCAGGCCAGCTCTCTGCTGTGGCCAGGGAGTGCAGTGGAGGATGGCCCAAGTGCTTGGGCCCTGCACCCCATGGGAGACCAGGAGAAGCACCTGGCTCCTGCCATCGGATCGGCGCGGTGTGCCGGCCACAGCGCACCAGCTGCAGCGGCCATTGGAGGGTGAACCAACGGCAAAGGAAGACCTTTCTCTCTGTCTCTCTCTCACTGTCCACTCTGCCTGTCAAAAAAAAAAAAATCTCCAGGGTGAGTTGCTGCTCTTCCTTCCCGAGCCAACATCTTAAAGGGTGGCACCCACTGCTGCTGACTGACACCCAAACGCTGGCTCATCTATGAACTCTGTCTTCCAGAAAAGTCTTGCTTGCTGCTTTATTCCTGGACACTTCTCTCAAATAAAGAAATGTCTATGAATACAATATAACTTCTGGAAGAGGTGTAAAGGGCATCGTTTAACATCCAGATTTGAGAATACAGTTTTTATTTCTGTTTTATTAGTGTTTATAGTTCTTTTCAAATCATTTTCTACCATCTTTTTACTCATCAAGTACAGAAGCAAACAAGGGAACTGGATACAGAACTAGCATTGCTGAGTATCTTCTAGGAGCAAGTTTAAGGCACTGAATGCCTTAGATCATCATTTATACCTTAGATTAATTCTGGAGACAATGTAATCAGGAGTTTACAAAGAAGAAACTGAGTATAAAGAGTTTAGAATTTGCCCATGGTGATAACATTAAAAGGTGTAGGTTAAAGATTAACTAAAATCTAATACTGGTTCAAGAATTTTTTTTGTCTTGGGGCTCAGTTTCTAAAACCCAAGATTTCTCATCTGGAAAAAAAGTGAGAGAGGAAGAGTACCTACAACAATAATTTATACTATAGAGAGACAGATAGAAATATAACTTGTTTAAAAAAGGGTGATTCAAAGTTGCTATGATTTCATACTCTTTTTTTTAGGTTTAATAACAATGTAGCATAGAAAGTTATGCATTCTTAGGTATAGATGTGTTGTTCGTTTTTTAAGTTTGTATGTAGAAATGCAAATGGATAGCTGGATGATACGGAGTTCTGCGGTGACGGTTCCTTGCTACCGCGGGAGAATTAGGCAGGCTGCCCGCAGCTTGCCTTGACTGAGGAGGGGAAGTACGCCACCCGCCACTCAGCCTTCCCCAAACCCGGGGGACAATCAGGCGCGGTGTGGAGCCCAGTTGAAGCAGGGTCTCACTTTATTGTAAAAGGGAGGTGTATATATAGATGAGGTACAGAGCGGATGAGGGATGCGGGCAAGGGGTGGGGTGTTGTGATGCAAAAGGATCCTAGCCACTCCTATTATACCACCTTAATGATCCTTAGGCAGAAGCGCCCTGGGGCTGGGGTGTTTGCTACTAGGGATTTGAAACTTAAAGTCAGGTTTTCAAATTTGAGGCAGGCTCAGGAATTTCCTCTAGGCCTCTCTGGATTCAGCGTCCCCCACAGAGTTCTATGTTTATGATTACTTCTGTCAAATATAGGTCATGGGATTAGGCTTGTTGCTGGATTAGGGATGCCTAAATCTTTATCCATTGACTTCACACTAGTACTTACTGTGTCAGGCAATATTCTTTGGGTAGATTCCTCTTTCTTGCCAAATGGAGAATTTCATGAGGGCAAGAAACACATTTGCATTGACATTATACCTCAGCATCTTGACAATCAGTCTTTGAATAACTGATGATATAAAAAATTAACAAATAAGATTTCTGACCCCCAAGAACTGCCTAGTAGAGGAGACAAGGAAATAGAAATCTATTTGATGACTGCCACAATTATGTGGATATACAAGTTATTGTTCTCATACAAGTTTGATCATAAGGGGCATGTTAATAACAACACAGGATTGAAAGGTATAAACAGACAGCAACCTGGACCAACCAAGTTACATGTTCATCCTATTTAAGGAATTCATTTATTTATTTATTAAGTAGTTCTTGAGCAATCTTTTGTGTGGTATGTTGAAAGAGCTACCAGCCATTTGATTTCCCAGTAAAATGGAAATGTACTGAGCAACAAGATATAGGCAGAGTGGGCTAAATCACAAAAAACTTTGGATACAAAGGTAAGGAAGACAAAAGGCAGATAGGTCAATTAAAAAGTCTATTACAGGTAATTTAGTGGCACCTGAATCAAGTGGGAATAAAGAAGAGGCAATGCATCAAAGTAAGATATAAAAGGTAGAATCAACAGGATGGCAATGCTTCACTATGATAGAAAAAGGTAGATGGAAACTCATTTGTAAACTTTAATTTGGATTTTATTATTTAAAGGAAAATGTTCTCAGTATATGGTGTTCATCAGTAATAAAAGGTTACTTACAGGGGCCAGCACTGTGGCATAGCAGGTAAAGCCATCGCCTGTCATGCCGGCATCTCGTATGGACGCAGGTTTGAGTCCCAGCTGCTCCACTTTGATCCAGATTTCCGCTATGCCCTGGGAAAGCAGTAGAAGAGGGTCCATGTCCTTGGGCCCCTGCACCCACGTGGGAGACCTGGTGAAGCTCCTGGCTCCTGGCTTCAGATTGGTGCAGCTCTGGCCATTGAAGCCATCTGGCAGATGGAAGACCTCTCTCTCTTCCTCAACCTCTCTGTAACTCTTTCAAATAAAATAAATAAGTCTTTAAAAAAATGATTACTTCCAGTCAACTTACAAAGTCCCCATACATCCAGGACACAGCCAGGGAACAGTCTCATGGGTAGATGCTATCTAGAAGTCCTATGTCAATCATCAAGCTACACATTTTTAACTGCTTCCATATATAATGGTCCTCATTATGATGCAGTTACTTAGAAACTAGAAGATATAATCAGTGTGTATAAAAACAATCCAAATAAAAAAGTTAAATTCAAAAACTCACAAAATTATGTAATTCAAACCTGAATCTGGAATACCTCCCTAATTCACAGTTCATGTGTCTACCAACCTCAGGTACTCAAAACACATGAAGCAGGAAATAAGTAAAAATTTTTTTTCCACCAAAATATGCATTATAAATTTCAAGGGAGAAGTCCTGCCACTGGCTTAGCACCATGGCTCTTAAACAAATTCACTCCATCTTGAGTACTCTGGTGGGAGTGGGTGTGTTCAAAGAGAAGAAAGCAGTCGGTGTGAACAGTGAACAAGTGGAAAGGGCTCCAACAACAATGCTGCAGAACTCTGGGGGCCCTAACTGAATGCAATATGCAGGCAGGCATTTTTTTTTTTTAATTTCTGGGAGATTTTCCATGCTCTCAGATGTCATGGAACCATAAGAACTGAGCACAACCAGAGCGTTCAAGGCCAGCATCCACGATTCACTTAGTGATGATGGCTTCATGGATATAATTAAGCCTCACTCACTTGCTATATCATTCTGTTTAGAGCCACCAGAACTGAAGAGCACATGATGTCAGAGGTGGTAGGAGAGCATGGAGTGTGGGGGTCTCATGGTGGAGGCAGCTGTGCAGAGGGAGGGGTGGAGGAGGAGGAGAAGAGCAAGAGCTCCTAGCACTGTGGGAGTGAGGAGCGGGGTGGGAGTGCAGACAGGGATGACTTGTCTGCATTATGCGTGGTATGCTCCTGGGTATAACTGATACAGCATGAATGATGTGAACAAAATGCATACCCTAAAGACACTTACTATCCTGGGGGACAGATGGCAAGGACATAGACAATTAAAAAACGACGTGACAAAAGCTGTACGTGCACAATCGAATCACCTACCTCATTTACAGATGCCATGCCCACGTCAGGCAGGAACCCCATTGGGTTAAGGTCAGATTTCAGAAGTAGCAGAGCCCAGAAATGACACCATTGTCTAAAATGAAAATGGTGGATGATAGGCAGAGGTTGGGTAACTGAAGCTGGGGCCAGAACATGGATCCTGACTCACTGGGAGTCTGGCAAACCTATCACTAACCTGGATAAACCTGAGATCTAGCTTCTATCCTGCTGCCCGTGTCTTTGCATGGAGGCATAACCAAGAAAGAAGCTCACCTCTGCCTTTGGCTGACTGGAGAGACTGTGGGAGATCCCCACATCTGAGGCCAAGTAAAAATTATATTCTCAAGTCTGGATGTCAATCTTTGCTCTCTACAACCCCACTGAAAGTTATTTATTTTTTTGAGAGACACCTTCCAAGAACAAACCAGCAAATAAGATTTTTCTGGAAGAAGACAGAATTTATGATGGTGACAGAATTTGCGGTTAAGTTAGCAGCAGCAGGTGTCACTCCATAGGATATTTTTTTGAAGATTAATTTTATTTATTTGAAAGACAGACTTACAGAGAGACGTAGAGATAGACAGAGGTCTTCCACCTGCTCATTCACTCTCCAAATGGCCACAATGTCCAGAGATGAGCCTATCGGAAGCCAGCAGCCAGGAGCTTCTTCCAAGTCTCCTATGTGGGTGCAGGGGCCCAAGGACTTTGGCCATCCTTTGGTGCTTTCCCAGGCTCGTTAGCAGAGCTTGACGTGGAGCAGTCGGGACTTGAACCGGCTCCTGTAGGTGATGTCAGTGCCGCAGGCTGGGGAGCACCTGGACCCACTCTGTAAGATTTTGATTCAGGAAAGGAATAAGACTAGCAACTGATCCTTGAATTTTGGGGTGGGGAGCAAGGAGAGGAGGGATGTAAATAAAAGCGAATACCCTCTGATTTTCAGTCTGTCTCCACGGGCCAGACAGAAGCCCTTGGAGAGGGCTAGCTGGGTCTCAGGAATGCTCCGGACGGGACTCCATTTCCCAGAGTCCCAAGGTACCCTGCCTTACTGGGAGCGCCCAAGGCCTGAGCCTATGGATGTGGGAGAATCTGCGCATGCGCACGGGGCTCTGAGCGGGGTGGGGGCAGAGGACGTTCATTCAGTGATCAGAGTTCACCTTCAGAGGTCACGCTACTCCTCCTCCGTGCTCTGCACGTGCCATCTCGGCAGTTTGCCAGCACACACCGCCGCCTGCCACCCCGTGGTACTGTGCCTCCCTCCGCATCTGCTGCCTGTGGGCCCCACGCGAAGGTAACTCTTCCTGCCCCAAGCTCCCTGTGTGCCCTGGAGAGAGGGGACGTGCCTCCCGGACTTCCCACGGCAGGTATGGGGAACAGATGCCTGTGAGGGTGGATGGCGGCTGCCTGACGTGGGTCCCTTGCTTCCCCGTGGTGCTGGAGGCTTCCGCGGGCACGGTCGGTCGGGACAGGGACCCGAGCTGCTCTGTCTCCCACCGCGTCTTCCCAGCCTGCCAGCAACTGCCCAGTCCCGCGCTACTACCTTGCTCAAACCTTGCTTCCCGGAGAGAGCGCGCCGGACAGGGCAACTGCACAAACAGGGCGCGCAAGAGGGCAATGGAGGAAGGCAGTGAGTCTCGCTTCGTATATTTAAATAAGCCGGTTTCCCGGTTTGGGTGGGTCGCAGAATGCCTTCAGGCCAGGCCTTCTGCTGTATGCAGGAGGGCAGGGCTCTGGGTCTCTCGGCAGGGAGCCCCAGGCGGCCGGGGGTGGGGTGGGGTGGGGAAGGAGGATCAGACCGGGATCTGCTCCTTGGCCCCCATCCTGCACCTCGGAAGCCAGGTGGGGTCCTCCGGACCCCACCTGGCAGCTAGGACCCGGCGTGTGAAGCTTTTTCCCAGAGAGAACAGCGTGAAGGGTGTGCAGTAGCTCTGTGGAAGGATCCCTCTTCCCTGTCTAGCTAACAGACTTTTTAAATCTGGAATTTGAAGCCATGGAATCCCAGGTGATGGTGTATTTGACTGCTTTTTGATTTCTGTCTTCAGCCCCTATTTCTTCTCCTCTTAGCAAGGATGTTGTGTTATTCCTGCTGCTGATCCCTTTGCAAAGTGAGAAGCGAACTGAATTAATGCCAGTGATTTGTGTGGGTTCATAATTGGAGCTACTTTAATCTGGATTTGCATAAGGTGGAGAACTATACAGAGAATGAACAATTTTTCTCTGCCCAGTTCTTTACAGTCACCCAGTGCCCTGTCAAGCTGATTATCTTACAGTCCATATTGTTTTAATTAAGAGGGCTTGTCCTGTTTTGGGTTCTGTGTTTAAGCCTATGACATTTTTGTCATGGAAAGATATTAGTTCTCTATATTTTCATAATGACTGTAGAGTGGAAGCATCAATACAAGTTGTTGATGTGAGAATGGGTAAGAAAGAGGGGAAATTAAAAATACCCGTCTCCCCACAAAGATGGCAGCATAGTGGGCAGAGGGTGTGGCCTTGAAAACTTGCTCACTGAGTTTCAGTATAATAACGTGTTTGAGGGATTCGAGTGCTCTGTTAGAATGATGTCATGAGATTACTGATTTATGAAGCTCATTTCCCATAATGAGGCCATCTAAAAGGTAAAAGTAGTGAGTGCTGGAAAAAGCCTGGGACACCATTTGGCGCTCCCATGTGGGTGGCGGGTCCCCAAGCGTTGTGCCATCTTCTGCTGCCTTTCCGAGACATATTACTGAGGAACTGGATTGGAAGTGGAGCAGCTGAGACTTGAACTGGTGCTCACATGGGAGGTTGGCACTGCAAGAGGTAGTTTAACCCAGTGTGTCACAATGCTAGCCCATCAGTAGATATTTTGAAGTGGAATCAGTGGCAATGAAAATGCACACTATGAAGTTGTAAGGGAAATGCAAAGAAGTTTCTTCTAATTCCAGTTGGTTTGAGGGGCTCTGACTTGGCCAATAAGCAAAGTGAAAGAAGTCAGAACTTTGGTTAGTATTTTGCTCTAAATCTGAGGTGGTGAATATCCAACCTGTGGGACATTTAGAGTCCAAAAAATCTTTTGTTCTGGCCCTGCCAAGGCAACTGTATGTGAGACGGATAATCAGTCTACATCATGTGAATTTAAATTCGATAATTTGGTATGGTCCATGAATGATGTTATAAATCTCCAAATGGCCTTGGCAGAGAAAACAGTCCCACCCCTGCAAAATGTTAATGGCAAATCCAAGGCAGTTTACAAATCTGTTTAAGAATGAATGAATAACTACAATTAGCAATCCTGTGGAAGACAGGCATTTCTAGACAACACATTCCAGAAAGCAGTTGTGTTTCTACATACTGCCAGAGATGCCAGGCATGTTGTTGACATGGCTTTATTCCTTCTCAAGGGAAATGGGAATCCTGTGTGAAGAGAGAGGCCTGTGCATCAAGAATAATGGTGCTGCTGCCGGCTCACAGAGAACCTCTTTCTAGAAACAGTCTTAGATGGCATGTGGAGATGCGTGTTTATGGCCAGTGTGCATGAGGTATCCATGTGTACAATTTATACAAACCCGCATGTACACATGTTCTTTCCTAGATGTGCGTGATGCGGGGATTCCTCAGTGTCTGGTCTTTGTTGGGGGAGGTGAAGAGAGCATGCATCTGGGGGTGGGGGGGGTGCTTAGCTCAAAACTGGTCTCTGAATACCAGGTCTGCTGTGAGTGGTGCTTCTTTGGAGTATGGATTCTCCCACCTGTTCTATGGGGTGACTTGGCTTTGCAAAGTTCATTTCCCATGCAATATTGTATTTGAAGGTTTTTCTAAGTCATTGTCTTTACTTGACTCAGGTGCATCTCATTGAGCTTTCTGAGTGACCATGGTGTGCTGCTCTTGCTCAGTGGCTTCTAAAGCCTGAGATTCTGCAAGTCACAAAGGTGGAGTGGAGCCTCCGCCACTTGGGGTTTCCATTTTTTCTCCCCTTTCTTCCTCCCCTTTTCTCTTTGCTGTTTCTGCTGGTCTGTAAAGTGGATGATTGTCCAGGAATAGTTAACTGCCTTGATCCAAGGTGCCCCTTGGGCTCTCTACCTGGGAAGACTGCTTCTTGTGTGACCCTGGCCGTTGAAAGGGACTCTGATGGCCTCAATTGGGCACCTTCAAGGTGGACAACTTGTCCTACCTTCCCACACTTTGGCAATGGATTGAATGCCACTGCAGTAGCAAGTGTGGGATCCTAGGGTATTTGATGGAGTAGGGCTGAAGAAATCCATCCATCTCTTATTTCATGCTTTTCATTATGTTTCTCTGATCTTGGTGGTTTTTTTCTTTTTTCCTTTTTTTTTTTGGTAGCTTTTCCTTTGATTAATGCCCTGCAGACTACATGGGATTCTATTTTCATAACTCTTAGCCCTTGTCCACATCAGTTACCATAAAGCATTTCAAGTGTTTTCCTTGCAACTACAGAGTTCGAACCTGACTGCTCTTTGGGACCTGTGAGTTTCCTGGGTGCTTATCCTGGGGCTCACTTTTACCACTAGAGACATGTCCTATGGGACTGCTCTCTATTTCATGGTCCTGCTTGTGGGAAACTTTACTCATGTTCTGAGTGCCTGATTGGGCTACACCTGTCTGTAGTGGGAACTAAGCCTTTTTTCCTGCACTTGGAAACACAGTGCTGAGCGCTGCAATCTTCTGCATGAGTTTAAACAGAAAATAACTGTGTTTTGAAACACCTGGGTTCTGAGTAGACAGGGCAGTTTTCTTGAAGCTGGGTGAGAGCTGATGAACTGAAACTGTTTTCCCACCCCATGTTTTGCTCTGAGATTTATTTCATTTTATTTTCTTAAGAAAACTAAAACTGAGCTTTGTTCTCCCTGCTTCTGAAATTTTAATGCTCCCATCCTCTTTATGACCTCCATGTGAATGCACTTTTCCCCTGTTCTTTATCACGCTGAAAAGTGTGGTGAAATAGACATTGCAGCTGTCTCCACTATCAGCTTGTCTGCCTCGGGTTGTCCCCTTGAACTAGGCACTGGCTTAGCTTTGCTGCCCTAAAAGGCATCTGTGTAAACTCAGTGTAACAGTTCAATAAAACTCATGATATATCAACTATCTAAAGATTTTATTTTAAATGGCAGAGTTACAGAGAACGAGGCAGAGACAGAAGGCTGGGGATCTTGGATCTGCTGGTTCACCCCTCAAGTGACCACAATGAACAGGGCTAGCTTGGCCAAAGCCTGGAACCTGGAAGTCCATCCAAGCCTCCCATGTGGGTGCAGGGGACAATGTGCTTGTGCCATCTACTTCTGCTTCTCCAGTTGCATTAGCAAGGAACTGGATCAGAAATGGAGCAGCTGTGACTCCAACTGGTACTCATGGGGCTGGCATGGTGGCATAATGGGGAAAGCCACCATCTGCAATGCCAACTTCCCTTATGAGCACTGGTTCATAACCTAGTTGCTTCACTTCTGATCCACTCCTTGTTAACAGCCTGAGAAAAGCAGCAGAAGATGGCTTAAGTGCTTCAGCCACTGCAACCCTTCTGGGACACCCAGATGAAACTCCTGACTGCTGGCTATTGTCTGGCTCAGCCTTGGCCATTGCAGCCATCTCAGATGGAAGATATCCCTCTTTGTAAGGATTTATTTATGTATTTGCAAGGTTTGGCTACAGAGAGTAAGAGAAAGCAATTTTCCTTCTGCTGGTCTACTCCCTAGATGTCTGCAATGGGTGGTGCTGGACCAGGCACAAGTCAGGAGCCAGGAGCTTCATCCACATCTCCCACATGGGTGACAAGGACCCAAATACTTGGTGCATCTTTCACTGCTTTTCCCAGGACAGTAACAGAGAGCTGTATCAGAATTGGAACAGGGGCTGGTGCTGTGGCATAGTGAATAAAGCCACTGCCTGCAGTGCCAGCATCCCATATGGACTCCAGTTCATGTTCCAGCTGCTCCGCTTCTGATCCAGCTCTCTGCTGTGGCCTGGGAAAGCAGCAGAAGACGGCCCAAGTCCTTGGGCCCCTGTACCCATGTGGATACTCAGAAGAAGCTCCTGGCTCCTGGCTTTGGATCAGGGCATCTCCAGCCATTGCAGCCATTTGGGGAGTGAACCAGTGAATGGAAGACCTCTCTCTCTCTCTTTCTCCTCTCTCTCTCTCTCTGCCTGTGACTCTGCATTTCTTTTCTTTTTTTTTTTTTATATAAAGATTTATTTATTTACTTGAAAGTCAGATTTACACAGAGAAGGAGAGGCAGAGAGCGAGAGAGAGAGAGAGAGAAAGAGAGGTCTTCCATCCTCTGGTTTACTCCCCAATTG